GGACGTTCGACTAGGTACTGAAGACTGCTAATCTTCTTTTTCTACAAGTTTGTTTGATATTGTTGTCATTATTTTCGTATCTTATTAGCATCAAATTAAATCGATATAATTCTATATAATTCCAATTGCTATTTTGTAAACAAAATGTATTTAGTAAAAAAAATACTGATACTAACTTAAATTTACATGCAGAGTACAGGGGAATGGGACTTTTCGGCGCTGCCATTTCGGCGATAGATATTTTCGGCGCTGCTGTTTCGGCGATAATGACAAAATACATATTATAATGATAATTATTAAAATAATATAATATAACTTATATAGTCAAATATTTAGATATAAAATAATATAGATTAAAAAATTATGTAGGTACATTAATTAATGTTAATTAATGTTTATACAATTATATTCAACATTTTATTTCAACGCTATATTATTTGATATCCCCCTGATAAATGTTGGAATGTCATTTTTATCGTATCTATCAACTAGTTTATAAATACGATTGTCTGTGTCTCKAAACTTTTTTAACTTTTTCCGTGGACTATTACCCGTTACCAAATGCTCGTACTGTGTATCCGTACCTGCTTGTATTTTACGTAATGTGTTTATGAAAGCCCAAATTGTAGGTTTGTTTGCCATTAACTGATTTAATCTTCTATTCGCCGCTTCAGCATGGTTATTTGTGCGGTCTTTATTTGTTAATACRCGKTCGTATAAATTCCACATTGCCGGAGAAAATCGCGCAGGCCGTCGACCTTCACGACTACGATTTTTCCGGTCAATATAAAAGTCTTCGGACCAATCTAATAAATCTGTAAGTTCCTCGGGCAAACTTTCTGATAAAATATCTAGCGCATCATCAAGATCTGATATAGGAACGAAAACTAATGCGATAATACTTTTTACGTGTATGCAAAATTCTGGTTCATTTTTCCGGCAATGTGGAATTTATACGAACATTACGAACAATACGAATATTTGAAAATTTATGAATTAAAAATTCTRGCCCAGAATATGAAACTTAAATATGTATATATGTTTTAGTCTAAAAGAGTAAAAAATTTAAAATTATTTAAACGAAATATGTTCAAAAACATTAAAATATTCTGAAATAATGAATATCTTACTCTTTGAATGAATCACTCTGTATATTATACACACTGTTTGACATCACATCTATTATTACTATTATTATATGGCTATAGTGGTATAATATTTAATAATATTAAATATAATATTATGCGAAACAGCGCGATGACGTCAACGACGACGCCGCTGTCGAGTTGATTAATGCGTTTAGATTTTCATTTTATTATATATTATATAGATAATAGATACACATAATATTATTATAATAATAATACAATTGCAGTGCGCTTATAGTTTATAATATACTCACGCACGGGTGCCCTTCGCATTAATTTTTCTCCGACCAGTTGCGTGCAAACCATTTCCGTCAAATAACTTTTTACCGACACGAACGCGATTCCGATCGCTTTAGATTAATCATCTACTAGACATTTATTATTTATCTGGTATTGTTGTAGTTTGGTGCTTGATGTGGCCAATTAACCGCGAAATCGATTTCCCAGGCACTTACCTACTACCTAATTTACTACATTAACTTCATATAGATACTGACAAAAAATTATTGGGTTTTAGTTTCTGTTTTTTTTTTGTAATGTATGCTGTATAGACTACATAGAGTACAACTACCTGCTTTTAACGCCTTATTACAATCGATTGGATCATTCCTAATAATTGTTTATGACTGATACACTTTTCCACCATAGCCTCAAGCAGAAACTCACAATTATATAAATTATAATATATTATAATATGGTATATTTTGTAATATAATGCATCTGGTTTTACCATGCAATCATAAACTATCAATTTATCAATTATTGGTTCCAAAAAAATTTTGAGAATATTTAACATTGAAAATAATATCCTTTCCTGTATAATATTATAGTTCTGTCATTCCGTGTTTCTATTTTTTGATAAAAATTAAATGATAATCACAGTATCAACCACAATATAAGAAAATTATATATTAGGCAACATATTATTTGGAATTGAAACTTGTGAAGTCATTTTGATAATAAATTCACATTGATTTCTACAAGTACACTATTCATACTGAATTTTTTGAAAGTATAGTACACTTACTAATTTTTGGTGTATGGTTAAGCATATCAAGTTGAGTATGTTGCACAAATTATGCCTTATGTAGGCCCCTTGTCCATCCTATAAATTTATCATCGACAATTTTGATTCAAAACGACTTTAGTGATCAACAAAAATTAAAATACTTCTAATGATTCGAATTCAAAAAACATGAAGATTTTTAATTTATCATAGAAGTTTAGTTTACATTTTTGCAGCATATATTTAATACATAAAATGTGAAACTGATACAATTTTAAATATTTATTCCCCTCTAGTATTTGCTAAAATTAAAAAGTACTCTGACCGATACAAAGTATCTTGTTTATGCTTTCAAATCCACCTTTACATTTTTTTATTCGAAMCTTTGGAAGTATTTCAATTTTTGTCGAGCTTATAGTTATTTCATGTCCATATAATATGAGTTATTGATTTTGTAAATTTTATCTAATTAGTTAATAAATTGGGCTCATAAAGTGCATGATGCGGGTTGGTAGTATAGAAATTATTAAACACACTAATGACTAATGAGTAATGATCATGTACCTACTACTAGCGCAAAATCGACCATGGCCTTAAGGAGTGCAAAAATTGCCTAAACACAACTCCTTAAAAATGACACTTTTGCAGGAACTTTAACTGAGTAGATAAATACTTCCAYGGCTGTATCGAAGAAACGTCAATGATTTGTCGATCATTCGATGTGTCTTTTTCGTCCGTTATTGTTGCATTTCTTTTTATTCATAAAATCTTCGCTACCGAGTATCAAGATTGAAAACTTTTAAATAATTCACGATAGTATCGCATTATAAAAAAAATTGGCTTTTAAAAGCCAATCAATATCATTTTCTTTTATTGATATCATCTGATACCCTAAGTTTTTAAACAACTTTAAAATTGCAATACGATATTGAATATATAGTAATAATAAAATACGGTCGTATAAATCACATGGGTGATATCTTTTGTAGCAAACTTCAAATTCTTTATAAGATTTTTTAATTACTTAAATATTTTATCTCCATTTACTTTCTAACGACAGTTATAAAAAATGGAAACACAAGTG